TATTTATATATCTAAAAATTTAAATTTCTATTGTCATTTCCTCTTTGATACAAGGGGCTTTTAGAAGTGTATTGCTTTGTATCTAATCATATATTTTGCACGTATCTTTTTAGTACTAATTGAATTTTAGTTGAAAAGCATACTCTACTAATTTCAATCCATTGAAATACTTTAGACTGCTTTATGCCTAGTATATAATGTTTTTGTTAATAATCCATGTACACTTGATAAGTGTACTTGGTGCATTCTAGGTACAAGGATTTTATAATATGCTCATTAGATCAATGTGATCATAAAAGTTGTATCTTAAAGGTCTGTATTGATTTTTGTCTGATGATACTTACTAAGAGATGTATTAAATTTTCCTATGTGTGTGGATTTGTCTATTTCTCCTCGTACCTCTGTCAAAAGTAGCTACTGGAATCACTTCTCTAGCTTCTGTTTATTCTGTAAACATATCAGGGGAGCCCCAACATCAATAACTATTCAGTATCCTTTTCCAGTTTCCTCTCCATGCATTTGAAAGAATAATTTTTCTATTTCACCCAGAATTTCTAGGTATATTCTTGTTTTTCAGGTTATCTAATCTGCCACGGTACTCCAAATAGAAGTCTTCATAATATTTCAGCATGCAATCCCAGACTCTGTTATTTGTACCTATCATGGGCTACCTCAGACTCCTTTATAGTCCATAGTCACACTGCATTACGAGTACATTTTTACTGGTCTGCATTTCTAACTTGATTGGCAGATCTTTGAAGGCCACTAAATTGCAGATTTATTTCTGGAATATTTGTAGGATAAAAGAAGGGCCTTGGTCTCAGAATCTCGAAGGGAAATAATATCACAGAGACAAGGTATCAAAGGTCATGACTGGAATTTATAATAGTAGAAGGTATTGTTGGCAGAAGACACTGAAATATTTGTTTCATGGCTGGGTGTCAGAACAACCAACTGCATATCTACATGGGGCAATCTGGGGCTGAGAATTCATAGGAACACTTTTGATCCCAGGCTTTAGAGCAGAAAGGTGACAAGGATGTTAGTACTGTATTTATTATTAAAGTTCCTATCTTACGATGTTCCATACATTACCTTGGCTGCTCTTCTTTCTCTAGGGATGATTTCAGGTAGAACCCTAATGCCTTTATCTACAAAGTTAGTGCAATCAATCAATATATTACTTATCACCTTTCTTGTTCTGCTGGAATGACAGAAAAGCATGCCCAAAAGGGAAATATGTCCCCCCTTGCAAGTATCTTAAATTTTTGATGAGGTAGGAATGAGTACTCACATGGGAACACTTCTGGGAAAGCTTTGCTCTGCTTTGGATTATGATGAGATAGGAGGGTGTGATGACTGTTATTAATAGACAGCAACCTGGGTGAATCAGTTAAGATTATGTTTAGCTGTAAGACAGACCCAAAATGATAGCAGTTCATCCAGAAAAATCTTTTCCTCTGTCACATAAAATGCTGGAGTTGAGCAGACTAAGTCTAGTATTGGGGCTCTGCTTCCAAGTCCTCCAAATCATCTGATTCACATCCAGGGAACAGGATGGAGGAATGTAGGAAGAAAGGGAAAAGAGGTGATAAACTAGATGTCATTTAAGGAAGGTTTCCCAAAACTTCCACACAATCCCAGTTATCTCCAATTGGTCATAACCGAAGATACATGGACTAATCAGATGGGGAAATATAATCATTATCCAAAGTGCGCATATGACCAAATAAAAACGTGATATTTCTTTCATTATGGAAGAAGTGGAGATGAAAATTGGAGTAACTAGCTAATTTGGCCCTTCATTCAAATACCAACCATGGAACCTGACTTCTTGAATACCAATAATGTTGCAAAAGACATACTAGGCTGGAATTAGATAATTGAAATGGGTGCTTACAAGTACACTTTCATTGGTTGAGAATTTTTGGTCCTTCACAGCCCATTATTCACCATATCTTGCCGTTGCTACTTAATATGTGAAAATATTTCTCCTTTTCCCACCATTAAGAGGTAGTCTTATTACTAGGTATTGCAATCTGGATTATTGCAATACCTAATAATATTGTGGTCCCTCAGTGGCATGAACAGTAAATCACTTAACAACTAGCCAAAAAGTGGTTCAAACCCCTGTAGAGGTGCCTCAGAAGACAGCCCTGGCAATCTGCTTCCAAAAGCTCATGGCTTTGAAAACCCTATGGAACAGTCCTACTTTGTACACAAGGGGTGCCATGAGATGCAATCGACTCAATGGCAACTAATGACAGTAATATTGGAAAGATATCTTGCCTTTTTCTCCTCTCATTCCCACCCCACATCTAGTATATTCTATATTGGCCACCAAGTGAACTTTCTGAAACACAGACTAATTTTAATTTAAAAACTGAAGTAATGTGAAATAATTTTTTGGTACCAACAACTTTATTGTTTTGGTAAGTCTACATTTAACAATAATCATTGCATTGTATAGATATTATTTTTGTAGTGTACGTCTTGGGTGCCATGTGTCATTTCTAGTATACATAAATACATCACTGATCTTAGTTGGTGTCAACAAATTAATTGTAATGTGTTTATCTGAATATTTTACAAACACGAGTTACTGTGATACTAAGGAGAAAATAATTAGTAGTTAAATTGAAATACTTATTAATTTAATTATTATTCTAGGTTAAAAATAACTATAGACAAATTTTTAACTTTAAAACGAGGCATACCAATGAAGCAGAATCAAGTAGAGATCATTGCTACAGCCAGAATGGTAGAGACTAAAAGAGACTGGAAATAGGTTTATTGTGAATTTCATGATGAATGGCAGTTTCAATTTTCTGTGACAGCAAAATAAAAAACACATGTAAAAAAAAATTAGGTTAATAAAGTGGGTAATAGTAAGAGACATTTTTAGCAAACACAGTGATCTTGATAGGTTTCCTGTTGATAAACAAAAAAGAATAGATAATAAATCAGAATTTAATGTCCAACCAAAAAGTTGAAATAATTTTTAAACAAATTTAAGAGTTTGTAAATTTAGCCAGCTATAAAATGGCTTGGATTCCTCACAAAAGAGAAATTAAGTTTTAGTTGGAGAGATAACAAAATAAATTATTAGTTTAAGTATGAAAATTTTGTTAGGAAATCATGAAAAGAATAAAAACGTTATTTTATAAAAAGTGAACTATCTCCAGTTAAGCCACGAAACAATTGCTCATAGAACACAAGATCTTTCTAACAATATCAAAGATCAATTAATTCAAGATTAGAAGTTTCAAGTATTCTTCTTTAGCTTTAGATGAGTTGTACAATATAAAAGGCACCTCTCAATTAATATTATGGGTACATTTTTCTCAAAACACTTCTCAATGAAAAAGAAATATCGATTTGCAGCCTACAAAATCAGATTCATGGCACGGATAAATTTTAATCTTTTTTATCTGTTAAAGAAGAATTTCAGCCAAGTGTGAAAACTTCATTCCCATCATGACAGATGTTACTTCAGCTATGTTACGTAACAATATCTGGATTACTTAGAATTTGAAGGAAAATGCTCGTTTCCCTAATTGCTTTGCTGCACTGTATGAAAAATATTATGGATAGAGTTAAACTCATTTAGTATATATGTGCAAATGCTGTGAATCATTGCCAGCTGTTGAGAGAAACAGAAAACATTTATTTTATGTTCTTTGTCAATGTTCATTAGTTGAATGGTAGAAGATTTTTACAAAGATTTACTGTAATTTGAATTCAAGGTTTTCTAAAGAAGAAAAAAAAGTTTGCCAAGTATTTGATAATCAAAGACAAAAAATGACTGTATGTTTTTCTCACCAGTACCACACACAGTATATGAACAAGCTAAATCTGAAACTCCAAAGAAAGGAAAAGGTCTTTCTGTTACCTAGCTAAACAGGTAGAAACATTCATTGAAATGGAAACTTCACAAGTTAATAAAAATGAATTTACATATCTTTCTAGCACAAATCAATATACAGAATATTTAACTAGAATTAAGAAGATTTTGAAAATATGCTTGAAATGAAGAAATAGGAAATCTAAGTAAAAAATAGGAACTATAAAGTAGTAAAATTCTAGAACTGAAAAATGCAATATTTAAAATCAAACATTTGATAGATGGGCTTAATAGCAGAATTCAGATGACAGAAAAAAGGAGTAGCTGAACTTGAAAACAGAACAATTGAAGTTATCCAATCTAAAGAACAGAAAGGGAAAATTGAAGATAAATGAACAGAGCCAGTGACCTGTGAAACAATATCAAAAGGTTTAACATATGTGTAACTGGAATCCCAGGACAGAAAAGAGCAGGAAAAACCATCTGAACTTATAATGGCCAAAATTTTCTGTAATTTGGTGAAAGGCTTAAGTGTACAGACTTCAGGGGCTCAGAAAACTCCAAACAGGATTAATACAAAGAAAACTACACCTAGACACATCATACTCAATAGCTGAAAACCAAAAGTCATAAAAAAATTTTAAAGCATCCCAAGAAAAATGATGCATTACAGAGGAAAATCAATTAAAATGATACTGACTTATGATAAACTCTGGAGATGAGAACTCAGTGATCTGAAATCTTAGAAAAATATATACAAAAACAAAAACTGCCAACCCAGAATTCTAAAGACAGTACATATCCTTCAAGAGTAAAGTCACTTCATTAAAGCAAACTGAAAATTCATCCCTAGGAGACCTGCACTCCGAGAAACGCCAAAGTTCTTCATGCTGAAGGGAAATCTTAACTGATGGAAATTCAGATCTTCAGGGAAAAAGAAGAGCATGGGAAATTTTAAGTATATAGGTAAATATAAAGACCAGGTTTTGTTACTCTTCATTTCTTTAAAATATATGTTCCTGTTAATTGCCATCAAGTCCATTTCAACACATAGCGACCTCATGCGTGCAGAGTAGAATTGCTCCATAGAGTTTCCAAGGCTATCATCTTTCGGAAGCAGATTGCCAAGGCTGTCTTCTAAGGCATCTCTGGGTGGATTTGAACCGCCAATCTTTTGACTAGTAGTCAAGCGCTTAACCATTTGCACCATCCAGAAACTCCTTAAAATATATAAGACTTTAAATTACAAAGTAGAGGATTACTTATAATTTGGAAAGGAAAAAGTTAATCAATACAATGGAGAAGGCTGGTGGTCCATACATAAATCCAGAGATCAAACAAAATTTCCCTTGTATGCTGTTTGATATTTTACAATATTAAGTTCATAATATTACGTATAGTCTTGTCAAAAATGTTTAATCTGAAACCCAGTCAAGCCTCTAGATATAACCTCCAGTCCACAGGAAATACAGAGGACAGAAAAACAAGTTAAGCACAACTTGAGAAACAATAGCATAAACACAGAATGTGTAACATCATACAGGTCTACTCTCCTGAGTCTTCAAAAAAGTCTGTGTCACAAAAAAGATCAAAGGTAGGTTGTTCACCAAGACACTTAATAAGCCATAATCATATAAAATATGTTAGTTTAGTTTGTTTCTTGGCTCTAAAAAAAAGTCAGCTTTAAAAGACATTCTTTAAATAACTGAAGAAATTTACAAATGGAGTGCATATTATAGGATATTCTGGGGTTACTGTTAATTTTTTTTAGATGACAATGGTTTAGTAGTTACATAGATTATCTTTAATCCTAGGAGTTGTATGTTGATTTTTTAGAGATGAAGCATCATGATACCTAAACCATTCACTCAAAAAGCACAGCAAAAATATATGTAACATAAACATACGTGTGGGTATATATACATGTGAAATATGTAATATGTATGTCTGTGTGTGTTTATATATACAGAGAAAAATATTAAATATGACAAAATGTTAATAAATGTCTTGAATCTAGATGGAGGGCAAGCAAGCATTCACTGTACCATTGTGTTACCTTTTCAGTAACTATGTAAATTTAAAACTTTCAAAAACTTGGGGAAAACTTTTCCAAGTCAACAATTATCTCTGAGCTATCCAATTGTTAATTTGTATTTTTTCTTGAATAGTAGGGAATATGGATGGTATGTTATCTGTGTTATGGAATTTATTACAAGAAAATTTCTTCAAATCACTAATTTTTCAACAGATATGCTCTCAACATCTTTACATTCAACAAAGGCATAAGCTTTCTTTTCAGCACTAATCTTCAGCTGGAAGAGTTCTGAATAAAAAAATTTCTCTTTTTAATATATTCTACTGGATTTTGTCCAGAATGAGTTATCTGAAATTAAATAAGGGATAAGTGATGGTGCAAAATTAAAAATATATATATCATATTCATACATTCTTCCTTCCACATAAATTCACAGTAATAGTAATGATTATCACAAAAAATTACAGTAGTACAGTATTTAGTAAAGGAGCCCTGGTTAAGCACTCAGCTGCCAACCAAAAGCTTGGCGGTTCAAACCCAACAGCAGCTCCACAGGAGAAGAGACCTGGTAATCTGTTTCCATAAAGATTACTGCCTAGGAAACCCTATGGAGCAGTTCTACTCTGTCATATAGGGTCACTATGAGTCAGAACTGAATCAATGGTACAGAACAATAATAACAACAGCAATATTTAGTAAGCAAATACTATGCAGCAGATTCCCTTCCAAGCTTTATTGTATGTTAACTAATTTAATCTTTACCATGACATCAATTGTTGGAATAGTGATAATGAAAGGTAGGGGCTGTACCATGGCTAAATGCTTTCCCACTCTAATTACATTAAGAGTTTCTCACCACTATGAAATCTCTGATGTTGAGTAAGTTGACAGCAATGACTAAAGGCCTTCCCACATTCCTTACATCTGTATGGTTTCAGACCAGTGTGAGTTCTCTGATGTTGAGTAAGTCGAGTACTACGAATAAACGCCTTACCACATTCTTTACATTCATAGGGTTTTTCACCAGTATGAATTCTCTTATGTTAAGAAAGACCTGACATAGAACTAAAGGCCTTTTTACATTCTTTACATATATAGGGTTTCAAACCAGTATGAATTGTCTGATGATAAGTGAGTTGAGAATTAAGTCTAAAGGTTTTCCCACATTCCTTACATTCATACGGTTTCTCCCCAGCATGAATCAACTGATGTGTTTTAAGGTCTCCAACACGACTGAAGGCCTTCCCACATTGCTTACATTCATATGGTTTAGCATCAGTATGAATTATCTGATGTTGAATAAGGTATGAATAAAGTTTAAAAGTCTTTCCACATTCTTTACATTCATGAGGTGTCTCACCAGTATGAATTCTCTGATGTTGTGTAACTTGAGAGCCTCTGCAGAAGGCCTTCCCACATTCCTTACAATCATAGAGTTTCTCACTACTGTGAATTCTCTTATGCTTAAGAAGGCTTGAGCCCCTACTAAAGGCTTTCCCACATTCCTTACACTCATGAGGTTTCTCACCAGTATGACTTCTCTGATGTTCAATAAGTAAATAGCTACGAACACCACATTGTTTGCACTTACATGGTTTCTCACCAGTGTGAATTTTCTTATGTTGAAAAGGACTTGAGTGATGACCAAAGGCCTTCCCACATTCCTTACATATATAGGGTTTCACACCATGATAAATTTTCTCATGTAGACACATATGTCGGTACAGTCTGAAAGTTTCTCCACATTCCTTGCATTCATAGGGTTTCAAACCAGTATGAATTTTCTGATGTTCAGTTAGGTGAGAATGACGTCTAAAGGTCTTCCCACATTGCTTACATTCATAGGGTTTCACACTGGTATGAATTGTCTGATGTTGAATAAGCTGTGAATAAAATCTAAAGGCCTTCTCACATCCATTACATTCATAGGGTTTCAAATCAGTATGAATTTTCTGATGTCTAATAAGATGCTGGAGAACTCTAAAGGCCTTTCCACATTCCTTACATTCATAGGGTGTCACGCCAGAATGGTCTCTCAGATGTTTAGTAAGATGTGAATGTTTTCTAAAGGCTTTCCTACATTCCTTACATTCATATGATTTCTCTTTAGTGTGAATTCTCTGTTGTAGAGAAAGAGATATATGTTTTCTGAATGTCATTTGACTAAAATACCCCACTTTAGTTCTCTGTTGTCTCCCAAATTTAATTCTGCACTGTGGTTTATTTCTGGAAAAAAAACCTGTAAAGTTGAAGGTTTTACTTCTTTTCAATGTCTCCTGATGGTATGAAATTACTTCATAACTGCTTTTTTCTGAAGATAAGTTGTTGGTCTCATTTGTGAAATCAAGGTCTGTAAGAAAATGAGAAAACAAACACATGCTATTTTCCTGTACTGGGAGTGAGAAGGAGTCTTCTACAGTAAAGACAGTAATAATAGTATAATAGTATATCTAATGTCCATTAGAAGTAAAAGGGTTAGAAAATTATGAAATACTACCGTGCAACTTTAAAAAGGCAAAAAAGGGCTCAGAAAGTTATGAAGTTCACATGAGAATGTAAAATTTGTGATTAGGCAAACAGAAAAAGTCAGCTGTTCTAATATTTAGTTGTGGATCAGAATTATCAAGGAGATTCTCACATATACTACCCTTTAGGCATCCACTCAGACTGAGTAAATCAGAATCTACAGGAGTAGACCCTGATCATCTGCATTTCTAACATTAACTACCAAATGGCTCTCTATATTAATTTTTCCGATTGTTTGTCTTTATCTTAGAATGAATCCAAACACATAACCATAAATAAAAAGCCCTATCTTATCAATAATAATTCACTTCAAGCCCTTGTCATCTTTCTTCCCTATATACTACCACACTGCATCTTTTCACCTACCAAAACATAACCACAACTTTTCCTATCTCTCTTGGACCTTTTTAAACCTGCTCCACCGTTTAAGCATCTTCTCATGTGGCTTCTTTAAATTACTGTCTTCAGGTGCTGTACATCAGAAATCACTTCCTCAGAAAGGATGTCTTTGCTAAGTAAATCCATATCCATTATTCTACATTCCAACACCTAATTCTTTGCCTTCATAATACTTTTCTCAATCACATATTTATTAATTCTCAGCTGTTTTATTACTTTTTTTAATTCTAAAACTTCAAGTATAAATGCAAACTCTTCCACCTTGCACTAAAAAATAAGTTCCTACCATGTGGTAGGTGATAAACAATTAACTGTAGAATAAAATACGAATAGGTTATTTGGATGAAAATAAAGGTAAATGTCTCCAACAGGTCACAGGGGAAAGGAGCTGAGTAAAATAACAGTGTAATTTCCAAATTTATGTAATAGTTATCAACTACCTCTCCCTGACTCCAATCTCTCACACCTTATTACAGTGATGTACACTTTCTTCTATAATTTATGTTACACGTGGAAAAAAAATGCACATCCAAACTAGCTCAGGCAAAAACATAAATGGAAAAAGTTGAAACCAAATCATTGTCCAAATGCCTGCTTCCTTAAAGTCATACATGTCTTATTACTATTGTTACAACCATCGTTGGTTTTCTATTTCAATCAAGGTAATCGTATGTATTTATTTATCTTCCTGGTTGGTTTTCTATCTCAACTGAGGTAATCATATGTATTTCTTTACTTATCTTCCTCAGTAGAGTTTTATTATTCACCCATCCTACAGATGGTCCATCTGTTTTGTTTGTTCAATGTCTTTCTCAAATTCTCCCTTCTTCTCTCTTACAGGAGCCCTGGTGGCGCAGTGGTTAAGCGTTTGACTGCTAAACAAAAGGCTGGCAATTCAAATCCATCAACTGCTCCTTGGAAACCCTATAGATCAGTTCTACTCTGTCCTATAGGGTTGTTAATGAGTCGGAATCGACTTAAAGCCAACCATTCTTGTACTTCTCAGAAATGCACCTCAGTAATTTTTCAGGAATTCTATTAGTTACTATATTGAAAGGATTATCAAAGTCTAAGCAAATAAACCTGGAGGTGTTGGAGGAAAATACAGTAACTAAATAACACGAGGAAAGGGCCTGGGAAACAGTGGCTTGGATTCTGCACAAAGGATATTTTGGATGTAGGCTGCATGCTGGCAATCCAGATTGAGTGCAGCCTGAGGAAAATCTAATGTGCTAAATGGGTCAAACATGAGTTGAAGACAAGTAGAACTCTTCTATGAATAAATATGGTATGTTTAAAAAGTTGAAATAATACAAATGATACTCTCTGAACCAATGCAATAAATAAGTAGCAATATCAGAAAACCAAAACACTTTCTATTTGTAAATAAAAAGCTCTCTACTAAACAACTACTATTAGGTCAATGAGAAAATGCAAACTGAAATCGCAGAATTTCTTGAAAACAAGGTGTCATGGATTGAATTGTGCCCCCACAAAATGTGGGTAGCAACTTGGCTAGGTCATGATTCCTAGCATTGTATGATTGTGTTATCTGATGTGATATCCTTATGTGTTGTAAACTCTACCACTATGATGAGATTATATGTGATCTCCTCATGTGTTGTAAATTCTATCACTGTGATGAGGTTATACTGATGAGGTTGACAAGATCAGTGTCTTAATGCAATCTCTTTAGAGATATAAAAGAGAGAAGCGAGCAGAGACACATAGGAACCTCATACCATCAAGGAAGCAGTGCTGGGAGCAGAGCGCATCCTTTGGAACTGAGGTTCCTGTGCAGAGAAGCTCCCAGACCAAAGGAAGACTGATGACATGGACTTTCCTCCAGAGCCAACGGAGGAAGTGTTCCCCTGGAGCTGATACCCTGAATTTGGACTTGTAGCCTACTGGACTGTGAGAGAATACACTTCTCTTTGCTAAATCCATCCACTTGTGGTATTTCTGTTAGAGCAGCACCAGATGACTGAGACACAAGGATAATGAAAATACTACGTCTCAGAATCTGTGGCCTTCAACTTTAGTGCTCAGAGGCAACAAATAGGCTAAAATGCTCATATTAAATGAATAATGAAAGAATTACAATTAATGAATTCAGCATTAGGAAAAGAACAGCAAAGTAAACGGAAGGAAGGCAGAAAGGAGAAATAAAGTAAAAGTAAAACTGAAATAAAACAGTACAATTAACACATACAAATCACTAGCCTACCTAGTTAAGGAAAAAAAGATAAGGAAAAAAATCCAAACATACAACTGGGGGAGATATTAGTCAATAAAGAAACAGAGAAAGTTAAAAAATAATAATACAAGACAACTATGCTAATAAATTAGTACATAAAATAGCTAAGTTTTCTGAAAATCAAGTTTATCAAAACTGATCCCATCTAGACTTACTAACTTGCTTCTAACAAATTGAGTATGGAAAGAGAAAAATAATAACTTTACAGTAAAGGAAACTGACAGACACCACCTTAAGCAAGTTTTCAAGGTTAACATCCACAGTGATAAAATGTTGATATCATGTAACGCTGATGTGATACGAGAATGGCACTTCCGTGGTATTCTTCCCCAAAATCCGAAACTTCAATCTAAACATAAGAAAACAAACACTCTACAAAATACCTGACCTCTTCAAAAACTATCCAGGTCGTAAACCACAAGGAAGGACTGAGAAACTGTCATATATAGTAGTCCCTCCTTACCCATAGGGGATATGTTCCAAGACCCCCAAGTGGTGGATGCCTGAAACCGCAGACAGTATCGAATCCTATATAGACTGTTTTTTCCCATATATACATACCTACAATGAAGTTTAATTTATAAATCAGGCATAGTAAAAGATTAACAACAATAACTAATAATAAAAATAAAACAATAGCAACAATATACTGTAATAAAAGTTATGTGAACGTGGTTTTTTCAAAATATGTTATTGTACTGTACTCACCCTTCTTCTTGTGACGTGAGATGATACAACGCCTACGTGATGAGATGAAGGTGAATGACATAGGCATTGTGATGTAGCGTTAGGCTACTACTGACCTTCTGACATTATGTCAGAAGGAGAATCATCTGCTTCAGGTAATCCTGGATCATTGAGCCATGACAATGTAGATGGTTGGGGATCCTTGATAGATGAAGGTTTTTTTGCTGAAATCTTTTGGAAGAACATTGTAACCGGAAGTTGTTGTCTCTTTCTTTTTAACTCATCAAAGTGTTGCTGTAGAGGCTGTAATCCTTCAGTGATCATACGGGTGACTTTAATGCTGCGTTCTATCTGAGGATCGTATTCCATAATTTTGTCCTTTAACATCTGTGCAATTTGAAACACTTCAGCAAATCTCAGTAATGTCCACATTGCTGGTTCTGCTTCAGTTTCTTCTTCTTCATCTTCCACTTCCTTGGTAGATGACTCAAAAAGTTCTTCTAATTCCTCATTTGTTAACAGTTCTCCATGGCCTTCAATATGTTCTTCCACTTCTTCATCAAGCATGTCAGCAAATCCTTCTGCAGCAACTTGTCTTGCTGTGGGAATGATTTCCCTAACTTCTCCATCAATCCAACGAAAGCCTTTAAAATCATTCACAACTTCACTCCATAAGTTATTCCAGCAGGCATTTATAATTTCTGGTTTTAATTCATCCACTGCAGCTTTGATTAATGTAATTGCATCAGCAACAGTGAATGATTTCCAGCACTGCATTAGGTCCAGATTAGGGTCTGCATCAATCGCTGATTGAGTATGATCAAATACTAGCTGAGTGTATGTGGCCTTGACAAACTGAATGATGCCCTGATCAAGGGGATGAAGCAATGAGGTTGTATTTGGAGGTAAAAATACAACCTCGATGTTTTCATTTTCATAGCAAACAGATTCAGGATGGCCTGGTGCACTGTCTATTATTAATAGGACTTTAAATTCCAATCCTTCCTCTTCCAAGTATTTTTTCACTTCTGGGATGAAGCACTGGTGGAACCATTCCATAAACAAGATGGCTGTCACCCACGCTTTCTGATTATGTTGCCAGAACACCGGCAGATAATTTTTGTTTTTGTTCTTAAGAGCACGTGGGTTCTTCGCTCTGTACACTACGCCTGGCTTTATCATATGCCCTGCAGCGTTACCACATAGTACCAGAGTTAATCTGTCCTTCCATGTTTTATGCCCTGGTGACTCCTTTGCACTTTTGTGAACGTAAGTTCTATTGGGCATCTTCTTCCATAAGAGGCCAGTTTCATCACAACTGAAGACTTGCTTTGGATGGTATCCTTTCTCCTTAATCAACGTTTTCAACTCCGCCAGAAATGTGGTAGCAACTTCTTCATCAGCAGACACAGTCTCTCTAGAAATTTTTATATTTTTCAATCCAAACCTATTCCTGAATCTGTATAACCATCCCTTACTTGCAATAAATGGCTTGGTGTCACTTGTTTCAGGGGATCCCTTGCTGAAGTCTCCATATAAGCTCAATGCTTTCTGGCGCAACATGTTGCCATCAATCGGAACACGTTTTCTGTTCATGTCTTCCACCCACAAATTTAACGCCTTTTCCATCTTAATTAAGCACTTATCACGTACTGTGGCTGTAACTTTTGCAGTTTGAGGTGCGACAGCAAAACTAGCACGAATTTCTTTTTCCTTCTTCACAATTTCGCGAATAGAAGATTCGTTCTTACCGTAGATCTTAGCAACCTCAGCATACGATTTTTTTTCTTTCCTTATTAAATCAAGAACTTTCACCTTTTCACTTAAAGGAAGCACTTTACGGCTTCTCTTTGGGACATCTGAATTGCCAGCATCACTACTCTTGCGCTTTGCGGCCATTATTAAGTAAAATAAGGGTTACTTGAACACAAGCACTGAGATACCACAAGAGTCGATATGATAACCGAGATGGCTAATAAGTGACTAATGGGCAAGTAGCACATAGAGCATAGCTACGTGATGCACGTCCCGGGTGGGACAGAGTGGGATGGCATGAGATTTCATCACGCTACTCAGAACGGCGCGCAATTTAAAACTTATGAATTGTTTATTTCTGAAATTTTCCATTTAGTATTTTTGGTCTGCGGTTGACCGCAGGTAACTGAAACCGTGGAAAACGAGATCGCGGGTAAGAGGGGACTACTGTATTGGAGGAAACCAAGGATACATGACGACTAAATGCAATGTGGTACACTGGACTGGATCCTGGAACAGAAAAAAGACATTAGGGGAAAAACTTGTGAAATCTGAATAAAGTCTACGGGTTAGTTAAAAGTGTTGTACCAATGTTAATTTGTTAGTTTTGATAAATGTCCCATGGTTATTTGTGTAAGATGTTATCATTAGGAGAACTATATACTGGTACTCTTTGTAACTTTATACCACGATATACAGTATACCATATAATTACAAATATAGTTACTATATTTGTAACTCTTCTATAAATCTAAAATGATTTCAAAATAAAAAGTAAAAACAACAAACTCCAAAAGAGACAGAAAGTCTAAACAGACCAGTTTCTATAGAAGAGATAAAAGAAAAATTTTCGTATAATAATTATTCCCACAAAAAACCAGTCATAATTAGCTTCCCTTTTGGCTGACTTCTGATCTCTATATTTGATTTCCCATTAATGTAAACCAGGATGGCTTGAAGAAATAGCTAATTCCTAGTCCAGGGTAGGGAAGATATAAGATGAATCTACAACCTCTTGTATTCAAACAGGTTTCAAAGAAAAATACGGCCCAAAACTTCTGCTTCTATCATTGAAATATTAAGATAAATCAGATTTATCCATGTTCCTTAAATAACTAGAAAACCAGACAAAATATACAACAGCTTTCAAATATCAGACAACAGGGAGCACAAAATAGTGATCCCCTGAAAGAAGGAAAACAAAGTGAGCCTTAAGAGTGCCACAACTGGCTGCCTGAAGAGAGTTTCTAGAACAAAACACAGAAAGGGTGACCTGAAACAGAACCCAGCAGTGTCTCTGAGTTGAGGAAACAGAGTAGAGAGTCCAGGGTAGGCAAAGTATACAGAATTTGCAAGGCAGAGTAGCAGAGAGGAGGGAGCAGCACAGACAGTGAAAGCTCTAGAGATCTGCACAGGGATCCCCTGGAGTCTTTGCCTGAGTACTGATCTTCACATATATGTAAGGAAACTAATGAGGCTGTGGAAAGCATCACTAGATAGGAGTAGGCAGAATACCTGGAATTCACTAAGGGCAGGGGTGAAAATATCCCCTAACACATCTAATAGAGTCTCCGGAATGGTACTGCCTCAGTAGTGGGCCATATTGTTGTCAGTTGCTGTCAAGAGGATTCCGAGTCTTGTCGAACCCATATGTCAGAGCAGAACTGTGTTCCACAGGGTTTCCAAGGTTGTGACCTTCAGAAGCAGATCACCAGGCTTGTCTTCCAGGGCACCTCTAGGTGGGTTCAAACCATCAACCTTTTGTTTAGGAATTGAGCACTTAACCATTTGTGCTACCTAGGGATCCTCGAATAAAAGCTGTTCTGCACCCACCCTGACAAAGCTTAAAATCAAACCTTGACAGGATCAAATGAATTCCAAATTATATAACTGCATCCTAGAACAAAGTCCCAAACTATGAAAAAGAATATAAAATATCCAGCTTCCCAATAAAGCAAACTTTACAATGTCTAGCATCCAATTAAAAATTATAGGCATGCAAAAATGCAGGAAAATATGACCCATTACTAAGGGAACCATCAATCAAAAGACACAGAAGGCGGCATGATACAGATAAAGAATTCATAGACAAGAGTGTTAAAAAAACTCTTACAAATATACTCCATATATTCAAGAAGAAAAAATTATTTTTCTACTCATATCTTACTTGACTACAGTCAAGTTTGTTCTTTCTTAGACTCTTCAACATACAAAAAACTTCACAGGAAAAATATTCCCCAGATACCTGCATGTTCAAACTGTTGCACTTATGCTTTAATGAGAAACCATCCAGACCTGAATCTTCCAGTTCGTGGGATGACTGTTCATTACTGATTCAGTTTCATTACTGCCTGTGAAACTTCTCAGGTTTCTATTTTTTTCCTGAGTCGAGATTTTTGTAGATTAAAATTTTCTAATAACTTATTTCATTTGTGTTTTCAAAGTTTTTTAGCATAATGTTTTCCAAATATCATCACATTTTCAAGTCTTGATGGTCTGTAACAAAGTCTTCTTTTTGTTCGTTATTTAGGTTTTTGGTGCCTTCTTTTTTTTCTTGATTCATCTTGAGAGATTTGTATAAACTTTATTCATTTTTTGATATAACCAAATTTGTAGCTGTATGTGTTTTTAATCTCATTAATTTCTGCTCTTTCATTTATTGTTTCCTTTCTTCTACTTTTTTTTAAGTCTATCATGCTCTTCTTTTCCTAACAATTGGATGATTACCTTATTAATTTTCAGCCTTTCTTCTGGAAATAAAAGATCCATCAGGGGAAGGAAGCTTGAAATCAGAACAGATAAGCAGTGACAAACAGAAAGAAGTGGCAAATTGGCCTTGAGGTTCTACAGCCACTTTTTCCCTAGAGGAACTCACTGATTCTGAGTACAACTAGAAGTAAAGGCACAGCGACAAACAAGGCGTAGCTTAGTATTACCAAACAGAAAACCAGCACTGACTTAATCCCTAATTGTATTATAGTGATCAGCTTCCCATTCCATAAGACTAAGAGAGAAAAAGAAATATCTCTGTTAAGAAATACCATTATCTGAAAGCTTTTCAGTTCTTTTGTATACTGTGCCCAGCATGCAATCACAATCTCTAGTAATTTAAAGAAGCATTACCAGATAACAAATAACAAGAGAAAAAAAGAAAAGAAACAGACCCATAGATGATCCAAAAAATGAAGGTAGTATATAAGAATTATAAAATAACTATGATAAAAATGTTCAAGAAAACAGCTGAAAAGGAAAAAGAAAGTAAATAAAATAATGAAGTTCACCAGATAATTGCAATTAAAAAAAAAAAAATCAAATTGAATCTCCAGAACTGAAAAAACAGTATCTGATATGAAAAAACTCAATGGATGCCTTAAAGAGCAGACTGGACAGGATAAATGAGGTGGAATACAGGCCAACAGAAAATACTCAAAACTTAAGCACAGAGAAAAAAGTAAGGGATAAAAGAAGATAAAAATACAAGAGAACTGTAAGATATGCTCAAAAGATCTAATATAGATAATTATAGTCACAGAGGAGAGGAGGGATGAATTCCACTTCTTGGTAAAATCTATTAGGTCACTGCAAGCTAACATTCCCACTACTATAAGCAGGAAAATATTATTTTAAAAGACGATGGTCTTGACCCATTCTACCACTATAAATATTTCAGAGACTCCTGTAGTAAAGAGAAAACCAGGACTCAGTGTGTACCTGTTCTCCATGTAGGAGGACCAGAAATTAAAATAAGGTATTTATAGACATCATGAACATACACATAAAATAAAATCTGCTTTTTCTGACAATGGTTATGCAAAAAAGGTCCCAGAATTAAAACCTTTAGTCATTTTGAAAATGAAGCAATTACATAAGGAGCAAGGGGAGGAAGGTAACTGAAGGACAGGGGAGATTCAGGTGCTGAATGTAGGCCTAATTTCCATCTAATAAACCTCAAACTAGTCCTTTGAGAATATGGAGCAATAATTTAGCTGGTATAAAACATACAGTGGATAAAGCTGAACCCCAGATAGGAGATTCTACATCATTTGAGGCAGATATCCTTACCCAGTGAGATAAAGTTGGTATAATTCTCCAACATCACATCTCTGTACAAATTTCTCTGATCTGAATTTAGGCATTCCCACTCCTCCTGAGAGAAGTCTATGGTAACATCACTGAAAGTCAATGGCACCTGAAATAACAAACCCATATTTTATTTGTAAAAGTAAAGAAAACTGTTTCAGTATGAAATATTGAATTGCAATAAGGGAAAATAAAAAACAAGCAAGCTGAAGTTATAAGATTATGATATACTAAACCAAAGCTAAACCTATTGCCATCGAGTCAATTCTGATTCATAGTGACCCTAAAGGACAGAGCAGAACTGCTCCACAGGGTTTCCAAGGCTGTAAACCTTTAGAGAGGCAGACTGCCACATTTTTCTCCCATGGAGCTGCTGGTGGGTTCGAACCCTTGACCTCTTGGTTACCAGCTGAGCACTTTCACCAATGCACCACCAGGATAGTCCTGTGACATGATTTCAGTAAATATATTAGTATTTGTGAAGTAGAGTGCCTACTTAATCTTGAAGAATCCTGTTGCAGCACACAAACTTTGCTTATCAACATAGGAAACCTTAGTCAAATATACAAAAACAAAGTAATCAGAATTCCTCAATTAAATTGATATAGACAACCACATTATCTGCTATATCACTAAATCACAGACTGCTAATAAATGCAAGTTTTTACATCTTCTTTTGTCTTCAAGGAATAAGGAAAAAGAATTGGTAAGTTCTTTTTTCCAAATGTATTATAAAATCTTTTCCAGCCATGATGGAATAATAAGGATTAGATTTACTTTCCTGCATGAAGTAAGCAAAAACCTTGACAAAATATATGAAACAATGTTTTTAAAGATGCAGAACAATGGGCAAAAAACAAAACAAAACACTGTTATCCCTGAGAGATAAGTAACAAATGAGGTGAGCCCTACAATTGTCCTAGCTTACTGCCAGAAGAGAGTTTCAAGGCTAGGGTGCAGGGAGAGGAAACCCAGGTAAAGCCCAGAGGAATCTCTGAATTGAGGAGAAGTTGGGAGTTTGGGGAGACCAAGAACAATACAAGAAAAGAATACAGGAAAAGAGTGAAATGCAGAGAGAGAACTCTTGATATTCCTGAGAATGCCCCACTAAAGTGCAGAGTATTGACCATACACACGTGTAAGGAAACAATCTTAGGTTAGGGAAAGAATGATCTGAAATGTTTAGAGGGAACAGTATCTGGCATCTTCACAGGGATAGGAATAGTGCCTATTCTGACCACACTAAGAAAACAGTCTTATCTTAGTAGTGCAGAACAAATACTCCTAGACTATATGATGCTCTGGTCTTGCTGAACAAATATGAAAAGCAAGCTCTGGTCTTGCTGAACAAATATGAAAAGCAAGCTGCTAAACAACCAAAGTATTCCTGAGTAACTTAACTACATCCCAGAACAAAGCTCAAGAATGTTTATAGGCATACAAAATATCTAGCAACCAACTGGTAAAATTCAATATGTCTTCCATCCAAAAAAAAATTATCAAGCATGAAAAGAAATAAGAAAATACACCCCCATAATGAGGAGAAAAATCAATCAAAACTCACCCAGAACTGACAAATGTCAGAATTAGCACAAAAGAACACTGAACAGTTATAACTGTATGCCATATGTTCAAACAGCAAGGAGAAAGATTGTACGTGTTAGGTAGAAATATGAAAAATATAAAAAGACACAAGATGAAAACTATAATTTCTGACATAAAAAGTACACTGGGATGGGATTAAGGACAGATTACAGAAGAAAACATTCATATATTTAAAAGATACAGCAATAGGTATTACGGATACTGAAACACAGAGAAAAGACTTTCAAAAATTGAAAAGACCATTACTTATCTGTGAGACAACTTCAAGCAACCTAAATACATGTAATTGAAGTTCCTGAAGGGGGAGAAAAATATTTGTGGAAAGAATAGTCAAAAATTCTGCAAATTTGATAAAAACTATAAGCCCAGAGAGTCACAAAGTTCAATGAACCCAAACCATGAGAAACATGAAGAAGCTACACCAACTCACATCCTATTAAATTGCTCAAAACCAGTGATAAAAAGAAATATGAAAATCACCCAGAGAAAAAAGACACATTACGTATAGAGGAACAAAGGAAAGGGGGAAAAATATCAACCTAGAATTCTATACCCAGCAAAACTATCCTTCAAAAACCAAAAGATATAAAACCAAAAACTATAAAGATCACGAAAGAAAAAATAGGGTGAACACTAGGGACCCTAAATATACGGCACAAACAGCATACAAACTATAACTAACAATACACAAACACCAGAAAATAAGCTAGATAAATGGGATCTCCGAAAAATGAAACACTTATGCTCATCAAAAGACTTCACCAGAAGAGTAACAAGAGAACCTACAGACTGGGAAAAATTTTTTGGCTATGACATATCCAACAAAGGTCTAATCTCTAAAATCAATAGGAAATTTCAACACCTCTACAATAAAAAGACAAATAATCCAGTTAAGAAATGGGAAAAGGATAGGAACAGGCACTTCACCAAAGAAGACATTCAGGCAGCTAACAGACACATGAGGAAATGCTCGTGACCACTAGCCATTAGAGAAATGCAAAATCAAAACTACAATGAGATACCATCTCACCTCAACATAACTGGCACCAATCAAAAAAACAGAAAACAAATGTTGGAGAGGTTGCAGAGAGACTGGAACTCTTACGCACTAGTGGGAATGCAAAACAGTATAACCATTTTGGAAAACAATATGGCACTTCCTTAAAAATCTAGAAATACAAATACCATATGATCCCCCATACATACGTGTGGGGTAAAGGACCTAGTTTTACCCTAAGCAAGGTGGCCTTTGTCATTGGCTCCCTTGGAGCAACTGGGGTGCCTTGGTCTGAGACTTCCAAGCCACACCTGTGGATTTGTTCCAGCAAGTGGGTGCTGGCCAGACAAGACTCACCTGGGAGGCTGATATCAGGAGGCACTATTTGCCCGTCATGCAGGACTGACCAATAAAAGTCCGGAACACTCAGGCTCAGAGAGCTTCCTGGTAAGTGAAGGGAGGGATGCTCTCTCTGAGACACAGCAGCTCCACATTGGCAACATTCCCAGACCCTGCCTGTGCATCTTTTCTTTACGATGATCCTGGTTTATATCTTTTTACTAAAATAAAACTGGCAGTCATAAGTATAACACCTTCTGTGAGTTCTGAGTCATTCCAGTAAATTAAGGGACCAAGGACAGTGTCCTCTCAATTTGTCAGGTCTGATCTAGCCCCAGGTGGCTAGGAACAGAGAGAGAGAGTATGTCGTGTGGGTAGCTGGTGTTAGAAATGACGGAGAAGTAGGAAAGTGAGTACCATAGTTATCTATTTTCTCAGTTTAGGAGGCTAGAAGTCCAAATTCAGGGTGCCGTTTCTACTGGAAGGCTTTCTCTCTCCCTGCTGGCTCCAGTGGAAGGTACTTGTCTCTTTTCAGTTTGTTTCTTGGTTCTCTGGAGATCTCATGTGGCATAGCCAAAAAATCTGTCTTCCTCCCTCTGTGCTTTTTTGCTGCTTGCTTAATCTGCTCTCTTATATCTCAAAAGAGATTGACTTAAAACACACCCTACACTAATACTGCCTCATTAACATAACAAAGAAAATCCTATTCCAAATGGGATTATAACCACAGGTATAGTAGGATTTACAACACATATTTTTCAGGGACACAATTCAATCCATAACAGTGGGGATATGATCGATCTCTGCCTTTTGGCAATTGGCTTTATGCTGATTCTCATTCACGAAGCTATTGTCATAGTATGCCAAAATTTATTAAAGTTTAAATACATGCAGTTTACAACTGGACCAAACCAAAAGCTAAGACGTTTCCTGAATACAACCAAACACTTCGAGGGACAGAGTAGCAGGCGCGGGGGTCTGGGGACTATGGTTTCAGGGGACATCTAGGTCAATTGGCAGAACAAAGTTCATTAAGAAAATGTTCTGCATCCAGTTTGGTGAGTGGCGTCTGGGGTCTTAAAAGCTAGCGAGCAGCCATCTAAGATGCATCAATTGGTCCCAACCTACCTGGAGCAAAGGAGAATGAAGAACACCAAAGACACAAGGAAAATATTAGCTCCACAGCATCTAACAACATCAACAATGTAGGATTATGAGAGCAGTGATGCCTCAGGGTAGAATTCCCTTCCATGCAGGAGATCCAGGTTTGATTCCCATCACCTATTGCACAGCCACCACCTGTCAGTAGAGGCTTGTGTGTTGCTATGAATGGACTAGGAAGAAAGGCCTGGCAATCTACTTCCAAAAATCAGTTAATAAAAACCCTATGGATCACCACAGCCTGATCTACAACCGATCATGGGGATGGTGCACAACCGGGCAGCATTTCGTTTCTGTGTGCACGCGGTTACCATGAGTCAGGGGCTGATTTACCAGCAGCCAACAACAACAATGTAGGATTAGCAGAACAATATTGATTCACTCAAGACCAGCAAATCCTCCTCAACTACAAAGTGGACTTTGGTCCCTTATTCATTTCTCAGTGATTCCTTAGCCAGATCCCTAATCTCTCAATAGGCAGGCACCAATTCCATCTCTCCCAAACCTAGAAGTTTTTCAAAGCATAAGATCTCATCTCATGCTGAGACTGAAACCATTCACAATCAAATCTCACCTTATCTATCTGGAAGATGTAAGTCTGTGGAGAAAGTTTTCCCTCCTGTGCTCAAATGGGAGCATCATTTCTCTATTACAAAATCATGAACTGGCAAGGGAAGCTCAAATACTTCCTTCAAGGTACTTCGCTCTGTTACTGCTCCAATGCTGCACTTAAGACTGAACACAGTGAAGATGGATAAATTAATCTGATGAATAAGTAAGTTTGAGAAAAAGGGGGCAAATGAGGACAGCATTATTTGGTGTAATGGGCAGAACTGCAAAGTAGGTTCAGAGATATGGCTTTCTTTGGTAGATTTCAGAACAAAGCATTTAAACATTACATGAATTAAAAATCATAGTATTTCTGGAAAAAGAGAGATATCAACTTACCTGTGCCATGGTTTTAGAAGTGCCAGTGCTCCTCAGGTTTCCTCTACTAGAAAAACAGAGTTCAGAGAAGCCAGAGCTGGGGGAGAAAAACAAGACTTCTGAACTCCAAAAATAATTTAAGTTAACATAACCTTTTTTTTCCTTCTTTAGTCCTATTTCCCATTACTCCTAAACACCTCCCCCACCTGCAATCATCCCAAACACATAAACACACGTGAGGGGATGTGAGACATCCAAACAAATCCAAGCCCTTCCCTACACCTAGGGAAACAAGTTGCACAAGGGTGGATGTAGAGCGGAGGCACTCCTGCCAGATCAAGGCATCCCACTCTGGCCTATTCCTCATTCTGATAATGATGAGACTGGGTTGTTAAGTCATACCCTGAGTAGATCTTCCTCCCTCCAGGACTACCTCCCCAAGTTCCCACCAACCAAAAAACCCGTTGCCGTTGAGTCAATTCTGACTCATAGCGACCCTACAGGACACAGCAGAACTGCCCCATAGGGTTTCCAAGGAGCAGGTGATGGATTCGAACTGCCGAACTTCCGGTTAGCAGCCGAACTCTTAACCACTGTGCCACCAGGGCTCCTTGGTTGAGACCAGGCTGTATGACATAAACTGCAACAACTTTCATGGACTTGAGATGGGCCTGAACTCCACCAGACAAAAGGCAGAAAACAGGAAAGACCAACTTGGCAACCACTGTGAAACTGCCTGCCCACGTGAAGGCTTTCCTCCCAGCCAGAACTCCCATGATCCTCTGGGCTAACCAATCTGGATTTCCTCACTGAGATCCACTATGCCTTCTGGCATGAAGTCATTGCCTCTCCTCCCCACCTAGTAGTCAGTGTATGCTCACTGAAGTCATACATCAACAAATAGATTTTTGCCATCTTCTCTGTGATGGATACTCAACTCATCAAATGGGGGAAATAAAAGCTCAGAGAATTAAAGGCATTTTCCCATCTTCACAAATAATAAGTAGATATGATGTGTTCTGAATCCACATTTCTATCATTGTAAATTCAGTTTTTGTTTTTGTTTAACTATTGCCTCTGAGACCCAGGTTATCCTGTTACTCTGTGTGAAACCTGAGCATAGGTAATTAACTAAAAAGTTAGTTAATCACCTATCAAAAGATACATAACTTTACTAAAAAGATGTTTGTAAGCAATAAAGTACTATCATTTTACAGGTATTCAACTGTCAGATTTAAAAGCTTGATCATGTACCACATATTAGTAAGGTTTTAGAAAAAACATTCTCAACGTTTCCTGTGGATTTGTGAAAACCTAGAATTGAGGTATGTAAGCAGAATTTAACCATGAAAGGCTATTTCTGAGACTGCATCCAAAGGAAATAGCTATAAACCATGTTCAAAGATGTAGAAAGGAATGTGACTGACACTGGTTACAATAAAAAGGAAAAAAAAAAAGAAGTCAAGGGAACCTAAAGGTATCGTGGTGACATGAGTTCCTTTATGTGGCCTTTTGAGAGATTTTTTCCCTAAGCCCTGAAGAATTACTTTTGTCCTAGTTTTTTACCCCAGAGGGTTTGTTACTTTTGTCAAGGTTGACTGGCATTTCCTGGGTAAGTGGTAAACAGTTTGACAGTTTGATACGTTTTGTCTGGCCCTGTGCTGCAGCCTACCCTATGACTGGTCTATTTTACGAACCTTGCAGGGATTGGTCAATAGACTACAGAGTACGCAAATGAAGTGACTATGTTCCACCGAGGAGACTGGTCAGTTTGTGGGCATGCTGGGAGGGCCATCCCTTGAAAGTGACAAGGAGATCGCTTATAAACGCAGCCAAACCCACAGAGGTTTCAGAAAGAAGAAAGCAGAAAGGAGAAAAGGCAAGAGACAAGAAGACAGAAGAGCAGCAGAGAGAAAGGAGGCAAGGAACCTCCTAAAAGAGATGTACCACAGGTCAAGGGCTGTGATAGTGAAGACAGCAAAAGGCCTGGAAGGGGCCCAGCAGCAGAGTTGGTAGTGACGGTAGAAAGCTGCTGCTAGGAATGCAGCTAAGGGAGCTGAACGAAAGTACTACACTGGCTATGAGGTGGGGCAGTGAGCAGTGGAGAGGCCAACCACAGGGACGCTGAAGGCAGAGAGGCCTGCACGGCCAAGAGGGCTGAGAGGAGCCTGCACTTGAAGAGGAATGGCGTCGCATTCATCATCAAAAAGAACATTTCAAGATCTATCCTGAAGTACAACGCTGTCAGCGATAGGATAATATCCACACGCCTACAAGAAGACCAGTTAATACGACTAGTATTCAAATGTACGCCCCAACCACGAAGGCCAAAGACGAAGAAACTGAAGATTTTTACCAGCTTCTGCAGTCTGAAACTGATTGAACATGCAATCAGGATGCATTGATAATGACTGGTGATTGGAATGCAAAAGCTGGAAACAAAGAAGGACTGGCCGTTGGAAAATATGGCCTTGGTGATAGAAACAATGTCAGAGATCGCATGATAGAATTTTGCAACTCGCAAAAAAAGCCCAGACTTACCAGTCTGACAGAGACTGGAGAAACCCTGAGAGTGTGGCCCCCGGACACCCTTTTAATCAGCACTGAAGTCACTCTTAAGGTTCACCCTTCAGCCAAAGATTAGACAAGCCCATAAAACAAAATGAAACTAAAGAGACACACCAACCCAGGAGCAAGGATGAGAAGGCAGGAGGTGACAGGAAAGCTGGTAACAGGGAACCCAAGGTTGAGAAGGGAGAGTGTTGACGTGTCATGGCATTGGCAACCAATGTCACAAAATAATATGTGTACTAATTGTTTAATGAGAAACTAATTTGCTCTGTAAACCTTCATTTAAAGTACAATTTAAAAAAATCAATACATAAATAGCTAACAGAAGGCAACATGTTAAATAAATTATAGAGAGAAGGGCTCCAGTGTCCTGGAAGGGGGACCCATCTGCATGGTCCCACAATTCAAAGATACATCACTATGATGCAGGACATTTCAGGGGACAGAAGGGAAATATTCCCACGTCTTTAAAGCTGAAGTGCATTTTATGAAAAAAGAGGGTACACAAACTCACCTGGACTTTTAACTTTTAGATGTGTAACAAGTCTTTCCTCGCTCAGGATACTTTTTTTAGAGAGTGGCAGCACTAGGAAAAGAGAAGGGAATCATAATACATCAGGATTTTCTTAGGTAGCAGAGTAAGTGAGAAACATCCTCCGTGGCCACAGCTGCTCACCCAGTCCACCACACAAAACAAGATGGAAATAGGAAGGAGACTGGAACAGTATTGACCTTTCCAGTACAGGAGAGAGAGGGACCAGGGTCATTGATGTCCAGGGTACAATCCATCTCTAATTTATAGCAGGTTCCTGGGGCCAGAGCTCTGGAAATGCTGTGGTTATGAAACATGTAGATGCCTCTCCCTTCCCCTCCCCCAGCTTGCAAGGGGGAATCTTCCAAAAGGAAATCCTAATCCTGGGGCCTCCTCATCACATCTTCCCAGAAGCCCGCCTTGGGGCCACATCCAACTTCAAAAATCTCATGCCAAGATCAAGCCTGTGTCTTCTGGCTGAGATCCTACATTCTAAGGTTCAGAATCTGGCTTTCCTCTTGGGAAGTTATAATCTCTGGCAGACCTCAAGTGGCTGTGACGGAAGGGGAAAAAAAAAAAAAAAAAACGAACTCCGACTCATAGGGACCCTATAGGACACAGCCGAACTCCTCCACAGGGTTTCCAAGGAGCAGCTGGTGGATTCCAACTGGTGACCTTTTGCTTAGCAGCCGAACTCTTAACCGCTGCGCCACCAGGGCTCCAGTCTGCATGTTAGGTAGAGTTTTATATTAATGGCATCATATACTATGTAATCTTTTTTTGTCCGGCTTTTTTTCATGCAGCATAATTATTTTGAGATTCATCATAATTGCATTTTGGTTAGCAGCTAAATGCTTAACCACTGAAGGCAAAGGAATGAGGAGAGCCTAGAGCCGTGAGTCATAATGACATTTGTTGAATAGGAAAATTAGTAACAGACTTCTTACTTTGATTTTCAGGGTTTTCTTATCCAGGAAACCAAATATTAACCATAAAAAACCTGACCTAAACTGCAAAAGCCCACCAGAAACTGTTCTTTAGCATGTAAATTTGTCGTATCTGATTAGAAAAACATAGTTGTCAAACCATTACCTCCTAATTTAAATCTCAAAAAGCCTCATGGCTGCAGATGGGTGGAGGGCCAAGTTAATAGCAGCCAGGCCAGAAGTAAAGTGTTATCAGTTCATCTCAGCAAAGGGGAAAAAACCCATTGCCATTGAGTGGATTCCGACTCATAACTACTCTGTAAGGCAGAGTAGAACTGCTCTTAACTACTGCACCACCACGGCTCTCAGCAAAGGGAAAGCCAGGGTTCAATCTTCTATATTTCTCCCCCCTCTTCTCTTTGTAAGCCCCATTGTACCTACCTTCTCCAAGCCATTTGCTTTTTCTGGAATCAAAATGGCCTCCCTATAATGCATACAGAGCCCTGGTGGCACAGTGGTTAAGAGCTAAGGCTGCTAACCAAAAGCTGGGCAGTTTCAATCCACCAGCCCCTCAGTGGAAATCCTACGGGTTAGTTCTACCGTCCTATAGGGTCACTATGAGTCAGAATCCACTGGACGGCAATGGCTTTCCATAATGGGTACAGGAGCCCTGATAGAGCAGTGAATTAAGCGCTTGGCTGCTAAAAGAAGTGTTGGCGGTTTGAACCCATCAGCTGCTCCCCGGGAGAAAGATGTGGCAGTTAGCTTCACTAAAGATTTCGGCCTTGGAAATCCTATAGGGCAGTCTACTCTGTCCTATAGGGTCGTTATGAGTCGAAATCCACTGGAAGGCAATGGATTTAGTTTATAATGCATAAAGAATAACTGCTCAGAATAAACCTTATGTTCAAATTTCAGTGAGTTTTCATTATTTTCAACATACTCCACTCCACACTGTCAAGCACCCTCCCTCGCCCATAAGCCACGCACCTCCGCCCACCTCACCACCCAATTAGGCAAAATCATGCCCCAGTCACTGACGCACAAACGTACACAGCGTCATGGAGACACGCCCTAACAGACCGACACACACGCGCACACACTAACCGCTTCTCACAGCCACACAAATACTCCGGTATCACACGTCCTGTCCGCGTCCTGCGATTTCTCACCTCAAGCGCCTCCCTCACTCTCACCTCTAACGTCAGTTCCCGCCCAGCTCCAGTTAGGAACTATGGAAGCCTCCACTGACTTTTTTCTTTAGCAGCGACCTACTCACCAGACCGACTTCACGGCCTCTCGGAAGGAACGGAACCCACAGGTCGAAAGTGATTCGGACCCGGTGGCTTCTGGGAAATGTAGTCCAGCCGCAATGTTCGTGGCCTCTGGAAGCCCACTATTCAGACGGCTCTCGGCGCAGACGCCCCGCCCTTCGGGGGCTGCGCTCGGGGAGACTCTGAAGAGCGGTAACCGTTGCTCGAGGTGCGCAGGCGCAGGCGTGTGCGGGCGCGGAGTTGGATAGCTCGATCTTTGGGGAACGAAGATTCCAGGTCGTCCTGGAGCCTTGGTGACACAGTGGTTAAGAACTACGAGTGATAACCAAAAGGACAAAAGTTCGACTCTACCAGGCATCCCTTGGAAACCGTATGGAGCAGTTCTGTTCTGTACTGTAGGATCACTATGAGTCGGAATCAGTTCTACGGCAAGGGGAATGGGTTGCTAAGGAAGGTGGCAATTGGGATCTGAATCCGGGGTGGGAACGATGGAGGAGGACCTTGCGGACTCCAGAGCCTCAAACCTTGGTGCAGGAGGAGGAGGTGGCAGGCTCCCAAGGACAGGGAATTCCACCCCCGCCCCCCTCTAAGTAGCACAGCTCCTGTTCTGGCGCCAGGAGCATAGCAAGTGTTAAGTATACATCTGCTTTAAAGAAAGAGTCCCAGGGTGTTGTGTATATGTGTTTGTGTTTTCATTCTCTGGCCTCGTAGGACCCGTGTGTGTGAGTGTGTGTGTAACCATATATGGGATTGTGTTTCTGCTTGTGGTTTGTTTCTGAGTGTGTTGCTTTGGATGTGAAGTGGTTTGTGTCTCAGATTTCGAGATTATGTAAGGCTTGTTAAACCTTCACCCTAAAAAAATGATGCAAGCCATTTGCATGGGCTGCTAACCTATAGGTTATTAGTTCAAACCCACCCCGTGGCTCCACGGAGGAAAGATCTGGCTAACTGCTTCCATAAAGATTATAGCCAAGAAAACCCTATGGAGCAGTTCCGCTCTATCACGTGGGATCACCGTGAGTTGAAATCCACTTAACAGCAAACAGTAACTTTACATTCACTCAATTAAAACCCCTGGAATGTGGCAGACCCCAAAGACATATCCTAGCAGGGCCGACTTAGCCATTCGGCACAGACTCTTTGGGAAGAGTCAGGAAAAGTTTGAGTGCTTTAGTGACTGTGCGTGGAATTATATATGATGCACTTTTTGAGGCCTGAGTTTATGGTTTTGTTTATAAGATTGTATTTTTTAATTGTAATTTAGTTGGTTTTTTTGTACTATGACTTAACATTTATGTGATGTTTTGGAGGGTGTGCTTTTTTTTAATTGTTGTGCTTTAAGTGAAAGTTCACAGTTCAAGTTAGTCTCTCGTACAAAAATTTATACATACATTGTTTTGTGACCCTAGTTGCTCTCCCCTATACTGTGACAGCACACTCCTCCTTTCCACCTCGGATTTCCCGTGTCCATTCAACCAGCTCCTGACCCCCTCTGCCTTCTCATCTCACCTCTGGACAGGAGCTGCCCATTTAGTCTCATGTATATACTTGAGCTAAGAAGCACACTCTTCCTGAGTATCATTTTATGTCCCATAGTCCAGTCTAATCTTTGTCTGAAGAGTTGGCCTCAGGAACGGTTTTAGTTTTGGGCTAACAGAGAGTCTGGGGGCCATGTATTAGAAGGTATACTTTCTGATGTGTGCATTCATGGAGAATGCAAACATGAGTCACTGTGTGAAGAGAATTGTTGACTGAGAAACTGGGTGACTCTGTGAGCTAGGTACGTGTGATTTTAACTACTTGAATATAGAACATTGTGTGCCCATGACATTATGACTCTACAGTTGTGAGTGACCATACGCCTTATTCTTAACAACGAAATGAGCATAGAAATGCTGTACCTTCTTAGAACAGTAACTTTGTGATGTGGGTAAAAAAGAATATGTTATGTATCTGTCAAATCGTTTGGCTATTTTATATTCATTTAGATAGATTTATCTTTTAAGGAAAACAATGCAAAGCAACATAACTTTTCAAATAAGAAAGAAGATTCAGAGTAACATGTTCTGTAAGGAAAAGGTGACAACTTTTGTAACCATCTTAGACTCTGAGAGTAGTAGGCTTACATTTTCCTGTGCTGTGAAGGAAATCCCTGGCTAAATAAATAATTCACGCTTGGAGAGGCAGTTTGGCTTAGAGGAGACAACCCTGGATTAAGGAATCAAGTCCTGAATTTTAGGTCTAGCATTGTTAATTCTGTTTTCTGAAGAGAAAACCTTGGCTTGGAGAAGGCAAGGAGCATATTTAAGACTATTCGGCTTGTCCGTCATAGGACTACTTGCCATATTTCAAGCTATACATAATTAATGCATTTTGTCATGTATATTCCAATGAAATGCAAAATGAGAGTTCCATTTCCTAGGTAAGGCCTGATGACTTTGCTAAAATCTGGCAACCTTGAACTTCTAAATCCTCTTTTTGCTTTCTTCTGATAGAACTTCTCATCATTCTGGAAAAATAGCAGAGAATGAGGTGGATGGATATGGTGTTACGGAGGGAGACAAAAATTTTTTTTGCTTCACAGTACCAGGAAGAACCTCAAATATACCTAACAGGAAATAATTTTTTTTAATTATTATTGTTTTTCCTCCTCTAAAATGTCCTCATTAGTGGCACTGCAAGGGGCTGTTGTACAGCTAGTAAACCTCAAAATTCCACATCTGTCATCAAACCTAACAGCATCGTTTTCAGTAATAACACTGGATATACTGTTCTTGCTCTGAGGTCAGAATTTATGTTGAGGGATGTCATGGACTGAATTGTGTCCCCAAAAATATCTGTCAACTTGACTGGGTTATGATTCCCAGTATTGTATAATTGTGTACCATTTTGTAATCTGATGTGATTTCCTTATGTGTTGTAAATTCAATCACTATGATCTAATAAGATGGATTAGCAGCAGTTATACTGATGAAGTATACAAGACTGGATAGTGTCTGAAGCCAATCTGTTTGGAGATATAAAAGAGAGAAGTGAGCAGAGACACATGGGAAGCTCATACCACCAAGAAAGCAGTACTGGGAGCAGAGTGCGTCCTTTGGACCTGAGGTTCCTGCGCTGAGAGGCTCCCAGACCAAAGGAAGACTGGTGTATCACAAGGGCCTTCCTCCAGAGCCGACAGAAAGGGAAAGCTTTCTCCTGGAGCTGACACCCTAAATTTGGACTTGTAGCCTACTGGACTGTAAGAGAATAAACTTCTCTTTGTTAAAGCCATCCACTTGTGTATTTCTCTTAGAGCAGTACTAGATGACTAAGACAAGGGATATATTTTTAATTTATAAAATCACAAAATCTATGTAATACAGCTCTGACACTGCAGACATCCTGAGAAAGGCAGCTCTGGGGTAGTGTTATGGATTGAATTGTGTCCCCCTGCCCCCCAAAATGCGTAGAATCCTAAATCCTATCCCCTATACCTGTGGATGTAATCTGATCGGGAAATAGATTTTTTTGTTATGTTGATGAGGCCGTATCACTGTAGTGTTTGTCCTAATCATTTGTGAGTTGTAAGAAGAGCAAATTAGACACAGAAGGACAAGCAGGGGAAAGATGGATGCCATGTGAAGATCACCAAGGAACTGAGCAATGCAAGAGCTACAGAGTCTGACACAAGGATCTTCCCACACAGCTGACAACAGAGCCTTATGCTATAGCTGGTGCTCTGAATTCAGACTTCTAGACTCCTTAACTGTGAGAAAATAAGTTTCAGTTTTTGAAAGCCACCCACTTGTGGTATTAGTGTTACAGCAGCACTAAGAAACAAAGACATATACCAGTTAAAAGACATAGACTGTTAGACTTGATTAAAACACCAAGATCCAACTATATATTGTTGTGAATGTTAATTTTATGTGGATACTCAGTGGTTTGGCCAGATACTGTATGGGTTGCTGTTCCTTAATGTAATGTGATGTAATCACTTTCCATGATGTTATCTCAAAATGAGAAGAAACAGCCACAAACATCCATTGATAGTTGGAATGTGGAATGTACAAAGTATGAATCTAAGAAAATTGGAAGTCATCGAAAATGAAATGGAATGCATAAACATCAATATCTTAGGCATCAGTGAGCTGAAACGGATTGGTATTGGCCATTTTGAATCAGACAATCCTATGGTATACTATGCTGAAAATGAAAAATTGAAGAGGAATGGCATTGCATTCATCGTCAAAAAGAACATTGTTGTTAGATGCCATCAAGTCAGTTCTGACTCATAGTGACCTTATGTACAAACAACAAAACACTGCCCAGTCCTGTGCCATTATCACAATCCTTGTTATGCTTGAGCCCACTGTTGCAGCCACGTGTCAGTCCATCTCACTGAGGATCTTCCTCTTTTTCGCTGACCCTCTGCTTTACCAAGCATGATGCCCTTCTCCAGGGACTACTCCCTCCTGATAACGTGTCTAAAGTATGTGAGACAAAGTCTCACCATCCTTGCTTCTAAGGAGCATTCTGGCTGTACTTCTTCCAAGGCAGATTTATTTGTTCTTTTGGTAGTATATTCAATATTCTTCGCCAACACCACAGTTCAAAGGCATCGGTTCTTCAGTCTTCCTTATTCATTGTCCAGCTTTCATGTGCATATGAAGCGATTCAAAACACCACAGGTTGGGTCAGGTGCACCTTAGTCTTCAAGGTAACATCTTTGCTTTTTAACACTTTTAAGAGGTCTTTTGCAACAGATTTGCCCAGTGCAATGCGTCCTTTGATTTCTTGACTGCTGCTTCCATGGGTGTTGATTGTGGATCCAAGTAAAATGAAATCCTTGACAACTTCAATCTTTTCTCTGTTTATCATGATGT